ATGTAGTATAACTTATTCTAATTAGGATTCCATTCTTGTGGTTGTACACAATACAGAGTTTCACTGGTTGTGTATTCATGTATGAACATAGGAAAGCTATGTCTGATTCATTCTACTGTCTTTCCTATTCTCATCTTCCCTCCCTTCCCTTCATTCCCCTTTGTCTAATCTAGTAAACTTCTTCCTCCCCCACCCCAAGGTGTTTTAGATTAAGCTCACACTAGCTCAGAATAAACCTTGTCAGTGCTAACAATCCAGAACTGTCCATGGGAAAATAATCTCTGTCACCTTAAGATCTCTCTCTTCTCACATTTCAGACTAGACTAATTAGGACATACGCCCATTGTAACCATAGGTTCAAAGTGTTGACATGATCCACTATGACTGTAATGGAAACTTAGCTGCACATCACAAATCCCAAAGGCTTAGCTTGAACTTGCCCTAACTATAAAGTGAAACTAGAATGCTAGAACAACTTAACTGATCAGAACTGTAAACTAATTTATACTGCCAAGCCCTACCAAAAAAAAAAAACAAAAAAAAACATTTTTTCTTTAGAAATTAAATTTAAAAAGTCAAAGTATATCTAATGTTGAAAAATACATGATTCAAAAAAAAAAAAAAGACAGGATTGAAAACTCAAAGGGCAGACTTTAGCTTTCCAAAGTCTCCAAGATTTTGCCAGGATATTCTGAGGCACGGGAAGCAGTGGGACTAAGTAGGTACTTAGCATGAGCTTGAGGAGAGAGGGTTCAGTGCTTAGGGAGACTTCCAAGGTCTTACTCCTAATCCACCACTGCCACCATTACTTCAGAAGCCACAGGTAAACATTTTTTCCACCTCAGAAGGCTGTCCTTATCAGAGGAAAATTGATGAAACTCTATAAAACAGGGAGAGAGTAAGTTTGGACAATAGGTACTAAAACTGATAGAAATAGTAAGATCCAGTATTCTACAGCACAGAAAGGCAATTATAGTTCACAACAACTTATTATATATTTTATAAAGAAATAAAAGAGATGGGCTGGGTTGTGGCTCAGTGGTAGAAAGCTTGCCTTGCAAGTGTGAAGCCCTGGGTTCAAACCTCAGCACCACATAAAATAAATGAATAAAATAAAGCTTTTGTGTACATGTACAACTAAATATATTTTTTAAAAAAAGAAATAGAAGAGAGGAGTTCAGAGGTCCCCAACACAAAAGAAATCATAAATGTTTAGGGAGATAGAATGCTATTTACCCTGATTTGATTACTACACATTGTAAATATATATCAAATTATCACATTATACTATTATGTGTGCTCCTCAAAAAATTGCTACAAAGAACCTGACAGCTCTAATTTGAAAGTATATTGTGAAGGAGTTTCGTATCCACAATCAGGACTTTTGTTCGGAGTGGACTACCCAGATGATTACAGGCATTTCTGTGAGAATATCAATGCCAGCATGCTCCCCCAACCCCAGATGCTGAGGAGAAGTAGCATCAATGTGTCTATGTGAGAAATAATAGACTAAACACTCTGTTAGGTTGAATCACACAAAATTTCTATTTTTCTTATTTTCTCTCACCAATCTTCTGAGGAAGATATTATTATTCCAAGTTGGTAGATGAGGCAACATGGTCCAGAAAGATTGGACAGCCTCTGCAAGGCAGCATAGCCCTTAGGGCAGAAACAATAAGGTCTGCACCAGCATTGACTGAATTGCTCATTCCCTCACAACACAGTGCCACAAGAGCAGGGAACAGAGACCTAGCCTCCTGGAAATTGGCCCATTGCTCCCAAATCCTTCAAATCATCCCTGTTCCATTTCCCTGCTTACTTTCTCTTATCACATCTAGGAGGCATGTCTAATGTCCACACTATTCTATCACACATCCAAGATCACACCTGTGGCCCTGCCTAGAAATGGAACCATCTGAGCAGTGGTTCTCAAAGTATGGTCCTGGATAGCTATGTCAGCATTTCTGAGAAATATATCAGAAATGTGAATTCTCAGGATTGATGAGTTGGAAGGGAAAAGATTCTGACTTGAGATCTCTTTTTAAGACTCAGAGAATCTATGTCATACAGAAATCATGTATGTATGGGGCTGGGGTTGTGGCTCAATGGTAAAGCACTTGCCTAGCATATGTGAGACACTGGGTTCAATTCTCAGCACTGCATATAAAATAAATAAAATAAAGATCCATCAACAACTAAAAAAAGAAATCATGTATGTAATCTTTAACATATCTTCCCTCCCACTTTTTTTTATTGAAAAACATTTCCAAATCACCCACCCTGTAAAATTCCTAAAATTTTTTTTTCATTCAGCTTTCTTGCCTAATTGGTTGGCCATCTGCTTGGGGGGAAAATAGAAAAAGCAGAATGCCAAACAAAGGCCATTAGTAAAAAGCTCTTTCAAAGTGTCCCTGAATAAAACCTTAACATATTAGGACCTTACATCCATGTCTGAAATGAGAAATCATGTTGTGTATTTATCCAAAAATATTTGTTGAGCATCTACTATGAGCCAACCCCTACCCCAGTGGGAGGCTTCTGGAGTTTATCTAGTTATTATTAAAAAATGATTTGTGCTTATGAAATACCACATCAGTATCTTCCATAATGTTCAGTATACACACCACCTTCAGTACTGTGACAGAAATACTTACACATAGATACAGAGTTTCTATTATACATTATTTGTAAAAGCAAGAAAGTGTAGATGGATGACACACAGGCTTTCAATTACAGCAATATTTGTAACACCAAAAACAGGTAGACAGTTTAAATGCAGGAACATTGTTAACTGATTAAAAGGAATATATTTTTTTAAAAAGCGACTGGCCCAGCCTTGACAAACACAGAATAGAAATAATCTCTGATATATTAAAAAGAGGAGGAAAAAATTAAATATATATGACCCAGCTTATGTAAACCCTCAAAAAAAAGAGATTTCATTTGGATATATATAAACACATAGGAAAAGATCTGAACTCAAATTATCAGCAGTAGCTACTTTTAAGAAGGTAAGTAGGCTGGAGTGATTGCACTTTTTACTTTAGATCCTTTTACTCCTTATATTTTTGTTTTGTTTTTTTCTTTGGGGGTTTTGTTGTTGTTGCTGGGGTTTGTTTTGTTTTGGTGCTGGGGATCTAACCCAAGGCCCCATGCTCTACCATCGAGCTTCCTCATATCTTTTTACTCCGATTCATATTATTGGACTATTTCATTACCACAATACTTTACTTTTATATTTCTAAAAATAATTTTAGAATATTGAATGCCATAGAAATTAACCAATGAGAATAAACAGAAGAAATGCAATTTAGGGGCTGGGAATGTGGCTCAAGCGGTAGCACGATCGCCTGGCATGCGTGCCGCCCGGGTTCCATCCTCAGCACCACATATGAACAAAGATGTTGTGTCCGCCAAAAACTAAAAATAAATATTAAAAATTCTATCTCTCTCCTTCTCTCTCTCTCTCACTCTCTCTTTTAAAAAAAAAGAAATGTAATTTAGACTTTAGACTGCTAATTCTCAGACTGATGTTGCTTATCTCTGAGAATGAAGTTAGTCTAATGCTATGTATCCCCACAACCTAAGATAACTCTTGTGAACTCCAAGTATGAAAGAATATAGGAAGAAAATAACACACTGCAAAAATGTTTGCAGAAGCAGCCATCCTGCCCTTGTCAGGCCCCTGGTGCTCCTCTGTGACTCCCCTGAGGACACAGTGAGACAAAAAGGGGAGGTGTGGATACATCCCCTGCCTGGAGGGTTCTCACTGCACCTGTTTCTGCTAGAAGAGATGCCTTTGGAAGGTACTTTCATGAAGTACCCAGCTTTTGTGTCAGCACACTGCTAAACACACTAGGTCCACCAAGAGGAAATGTCCAGTGACTAACCCCACCACAGCTCTAGGCCTCACTGTAATCAAAAGGATGTTGGCTCAGGAGGGTGGGAGTAATAAAAACAGTTCGGAGACTTAGCCTTTCTGCAGAGTGTAGTAGGGAAGTTAATGAAGCGACTGGCCCAGCCTTAACAAACATAGAAGGCAGGAATGCCGCCACCAGCGGAAGGAGTCCCATTGTCTTCTTGCCCTGACTCTTCCTTGCTTTTCACACAGAGGGGGCCACAGCCAGTGAATACAAAGCTCTGATGACTGAGCTCAAGATCTTGACCCACATTGGCCACCATCTGAACGTGGTTAACCTGCTGGGAGCCTGCACCAAGCAAGGAGGTAAAGGAGAAGTGGGGTGGGTGCTGATCCATCATCTCCCATACACAAGATATCTCACACACAGCTTCTCCCTCACCTCCAAGAAAATGGCTTCTCAACAGATCCAGAAAAAATAGTCTATCCATTTATGGAAAGGTACTCCCATGCTAGAAATGCTTTCCCAGTACAGTTAATTCAAAATTTGGAAGAGGACCTCCTTTTAGATCTCCTTCAAGAGGGTCTAGGTCAAGTGGAAGGCATTTTTATTTCAGGATGACTAAGGTAAAGGTGTAAAAGAATGAATCACTACTGGTGGGATACCAGGAGGAAAGAATGTGGGAGACAAACAAAAGAGCCCTTCCCTTCAGACCCACCATGCAGATAAACTTTATATCCTGAACCAAGGGACAGGAATAGGGTTGTGCCTTTTGACTGAGGGCTCCAGAAAGTTCCTGGAGACCTTTCTTTCCTCCTCAATGGTAAGGTCAATGGTTGGGTGTAGATGTGGACTCACTGCCAGAAAGAAAGGTGAAAAAAAAAATTGTGCATACAGATGTCCCCAATGTTCCCAGTGCAGGAACTGGGGGGAAGGTGCATTGGGGAAGACGGTCTGTTAGGAGTGATAATGGGTAGAAAGAGGAGTTGAGGGATGGAGAGGCCAGAAATACAGTCCTAGTCCCACCTGCTTCTTCATTATCCTTGATAAGCTTTTCTCCAGTTCCTGCTGCGGCAACCTCATTGTAGTTGCCTTGGCTCTGCACCTATAAAATGCATCAGGGCTAAGGAGACCACTCACCTCCTCGGAGGCTTCTGAGCCCTAGGCAGTTAGCCGTCAGTAATGAAAGCACCTACTGGGGCAAGAGAATTGCTGGACCCCTGAGACAAGATTTGCCATGAGTCTTTTTTCTGGGTGGGGAGAGGCACAGCTCTACAGGGACTTCCGCTCTGGTACCCTGAGGGAAGAGGAGGTGCTGTGAGGATTCCTAACAGACATTTTAAAACCAGAAAAGTCCTGATAGTAACAGAAAACTACTCTACCCGTATGAGCTATGTCCTTGGACGCCTCGAAGTGGTAGAGAGTCTGGGCCTCCCCAGGGCCTGCTGGCTACCAGCGCGCAGCCAGCCCCCTGAAGCAGTTCTCCGTCACTTCCGGTTAGACCCGGAAGTAATCCTTGTGTGGCCGGGGGAGCCTGGAGCAGGCAAGAGCGGGCCTTCAAACTGCACGTGGGACTCACGGGGCAGCTGGCTCCCTTCCCGACAGCTTGCTTCATTAGGCCAGTGGGCAAGCTATGGCCAGCCAGCCAGAATGTTTTGAGTTTTTTAAATAGTTGGGGCAAAAAAAAAAAAAAAGGTTGAAGGGATGGTATTCTGTGACGTGGAAATATATGAAATTCAAACTTATATGTTCATAAAGTTTTATTGGAGAACACTCGTACTCCTTGAGTGTATTAACAAAAGCTGATTCCAGGTTACAAGGGTAAACTGAGGAGTTGGTTGGCCTGCAAAGTCTAAAATATTAACTATCTGGTACTTATCATCCTCTACTTTACTGCCTCACAAGTCCCAAAGCAAACTCAGTGTAGATACCCCCAGACACCAATATTGGGAAGAGACAGAACAGGTAGCCTATTTTCTGCCCTGGGAGGGAAAAAGAAACTGCTGAATGGTTCTTGGGCTGGTGTGACAGTAACCAGAGCCCCTCTTGCCAAGGTCTGGCTAATGGGTAGAGGGTGCCTGGCATTTGCCTCTCTGTTCCTTTCTTTCTCCTGCTTTCCCTTCCTGCTCCTCCTCACACCTACCCTCATTTTTTATTGTATTTTTGAAACCCTTCTCAGGTTAAATTGCAGAAGTCATAGTACTCATTCACAGCCCCTCATCCCCAAGTTGCATTCCTAGATCTACTAATAAAAGACCGGTTGGTTTGTGGTTTCTCAGTCCAACTGAAGGCTGACCAATGGCTGATTGATTTGGTGTGACTGAGCATGTGCTATTTTGGCTGCAGGGCCTCTGATGGTTATTGTTGAATACTGCAAATATGGAAATTTATCCAACTACCTCAAGAGCAAACGTGACTTATTCTTTCTCAACAAGGTAAGGATTTTAAAAGTAGCGTTCTTTTTAAGGACAGCAATGGGTTACCCCATTTAGGCTGTGGCAGCATAAAGCAGGAGAAACCTAGTTTGTTTCATTAATGAAATTAATTAAAACTCAAAAAAAAATTAATTAAAACTAAAAAAATTAATTAAAACTCAATTTCTGCTCTTCTTTTTCAACATACTCCTTTCATGCTAATCTGTCATACTCTCTTACAGAGAGTGCAGACTATCATTTAATACCAGTGTATGCAGCAATAATTGGAAGTTACGTGTACTAGCCATCTACCTAAATTCCTATTGAATATCTCGATAATTTTCTCTAAAACACACACACATGAAACACACTTACGTACAAACATACACGTGCACAAATTACTTAGGTTTTTTTGAAAATGATTAAATATAGTTGCCTTCGTTTATTAGAAATTAAAATACAATCACCTAAGAGACTTGTCTAGTCACCAGTAATGGGACCAGAGATTGAAATCATTCTGTTTACTTTCTACTGCTCTTTCTCCTACCTCTGACACTGTTACCACTCATGGCATCCCTAACTGACTCTGAATCAGACCTATCCATGAAATAAATACATAGGCCCAGTGACATACACCTGAAATTTCAGCAACTCTAGAGACTGAGGCAAGAGTATCACAAGTTCCAGGCCAGCCTGGGCAACTCAGTAAAACCCTGCATCAAAATAAAAAGTAAAAAGGCTGGGGATGTGTCCCAGTGATAGACCACTTGCATAGAATATGCAGGCCCTACATTTAATCTCTAGCACTAAAAAAAAAAAAAACAAAAAAAAAAAACCTGAGTTCTGAGAGCAAGCAAGACTTAAGAAATTACTGACTGAAGAAAAAACAACTTACTAAAACTTTGCAATGTGTTAAATGGCACTAGTACTGTGTACTTCTTTAGACTAGATAAGCCAGGGGACAATAATTCAAAATTATTTACTAGTAATCATCAACAATAATGATAAAAACTTGTAGTGTTGAAGTTAAGCACTTGGATTCCAGAATCAGACTTTCTGGATTTAAATCCTGTGCCTTCCTCTCACGAAATCTGGAAACTTGAGCAGATTACTCAATTTAACTAAGGAACTAATAGTTGAACCCAACTGTTGGGATTGTTGGGAGAATGAAAATCTCTCCGTTAAGAACTCAAATAAATTTTAATAATCATCATTGCTCCAATGATCGAAAGATTGAGCACTAGGGGTGTGGCTCAGAGGTGGTATGTTTATCTAGTATTTGTGAGGCTCTGAGTTAAATCCCTAATACTTCGGGGGTGGGGTGCAGAGAAAGATTGGTTGTGTCCAACTTAATGCCACCGATCTATATGTGGATAAAATATCAGACATCTAAAGGATGATGCCCTTTTCTGTCATGTGTGCAAGTCTTCACACACATATAAGAACCACTGGACACAGCCAGGAGCAGTGGTGTATCCCTAAAGTCCCAGCTGCTTGGGATCTGAAGTAGGAGAAGCACTTAATCTTAGATGAATACAAACCTGGGAAACATAGTGAAACCCTGTCTCAAAGAAAAAAAAAAAAAACTAACTAACCAACCAACCACTGGACAGCTGACCCATATACTTATCCCCCAAGCTTTGGTCAAACCAAAGACACAGGTGTTCTACCAGACTGGCAATATGTATGCAAAAATATATTTTCCTTGGTTTTAAGCCAGACTCTAATTGGAATCTTGAAGCTGAAAGGGATCCTTGTGATCAGCTAGTTCACACTCTCTCATATATATATATGTTTATTTTTTGTAGTTGTAGTTGGACACAATAACTTCATTTATTTGTTTATTTGTTTATTTATTTTTATGTGGTGCTGAAGATCAAACCCAGGGCCTTGCACATGCGAGGCAAGCACTCTACCGCTGAGCCATAACCCCAGCCCCTAGTTCACAAATATAGAGGTACTCAAAGAACTCACATGACACATAATTACCACAAAATGAAGTCAGGGAGAGAAAGACTGAGCTCTCTTGATTCCTCTTCTAGGGTTTTTCCTATGCACCACACTGGATAAGGTGGAAAAAGAAAATTGGACAGTGGTGCAAATTCCTTTCAGTCTGAAAGCCCTGGACTGGGTTCAGGAAGAGCTAAGGCAGCAGAACACCCCAGGGACCTGGGCAGGATGGAACGTTTGGGTTCGTGCGTCCTTTGTTTTGAAGAGTTTGCTTCCTTCTCTGGCTATATTTAATGATTTGCCTCCCTGTGCAACTTGGAGGAGCTATGTTTTTGTGGAAGACCCACTGCTATCTTTCACATTTAGAACCTAAAGGAATATAAAGAGAAAGTGAAGAAAAAACAAAACCAATGACTAAATTGAAAATAGAATATATTATTTTCTAAATTCACTAAGATCCTTAAATATTATTTGGGATAAATTTGCTATTCTGCCAGAGTTCAAAAGTTAAGTAAATTAACCTTTCTTTAACAGAGATGGTTACTGATAGACAACGGTGAATATACCATAGATTGGGGGTCAGGAAGGGAGCAGTGAGCTTGGTGGCATGTCCTAGGAAGTGACTTCTGGTGGTTGTGATAAAGAAGGCTGCCCAGAGAGTTTCCATAGAAGCTGATTCCTGAGTGATCTCTGGTAGTATTTTTCTACCCACAACATTGCCAACTGCCTTCTGTTGTGGGAAGGGTCTGTGGAAAACACAATTCCAGTTCCTAGCTGAGCAGAGCCAGATCTCACTGCCTCATGAAGACACAAAAACAAATAATTATATTTTTACCTGCCTTCAGGAAAAATGTGGTGCCCTGGGCTGAAAGCAGAGCAAATTCCCTTCAGTCCTGAAATCTTGGACTGGATTCAAAAAGAGCGAAGCCAGGAAAACCCCCTTGCAGGGTGGAGGGGTCCGGTGGTGGTGGGTAGGTAGATATTCTTTCTAAGGTTTGCCTCCCTCCTGCAACACAGGAAGGGCTCCTGTTCAGGGGCCAGGAACCTCGGTACCCTCTACATTTAACAAGGTTTGTTAGAGCTGTCCCACCCAAACCTCCCTCTCTGTCCTCTGCTTGCTCCCATTGTGCCCTCTGGTGGAAGGATCACTCCTTTTTTGTGACATTTCTAGAAAAACCAAGGGAGTGTGGCTAATCCTAGCATTACTTGTGTGTAGGTGGATGGAGGAACACCAGTGAACTTCAGCCCCTCCCAACCCCTATTTCAGTATTTCCATCTAGCATAAACCAGGCTATGTACATGATGTAGTCCTAAAGCCACTGGACCTGCAAGTTTCTAGTGTCAGAGTTTCTAGATGAATGTCTTGTTTCACATGAACACTCAGGACCTACATCTCCTTTACTGAGCCATAGTAGGATGATAGAATTTTTCAAATGAGGAAGATGAAACCTAGAAAAGTAAGCTGACTTGCCCAAGATCACATGATTAATGGAAAAGCTAGCATCCAAACCAGGACTTGGATGCCCCATCCAGGATGAAGGGCCATGTCTAACTCATAATAGGATAAACCTGTATCTTTGTTTTAAATAGAAGCCAAAATTAAGGTTCATGTTCTTTCCTTTCCCAAGGGAATCAGAGAAATTGGAAACTACAGCCTTCTCTTTAAAACTTCTATCGGGGATTACAAAGTGAAGTCTCCAGTACATTGACGATCCTTTTCATATCATCTGAATGATGATAGAAGTATCAAAGTTTCATCTCTTTCACAAGATGGCATGTGCTATATAGAAAAGTTGCTAAGGGCACAGACTCAGAAGCAGGCCAAACCTGGGTTCAGATTTTGCCATTTGCCTATTGTATGTTCCTTTGATTACTAAACTTCTCTGAAACTGTTTCTCCACTTTAGTAAAAACTACTTCATAAAGTTATTTGGAATATTAAATAAGAAAACATATACCCGTGGGCTGGGGCTGGGGCTTAGCAGTAGAACACTCGCCTAGCACATGCAAGGCCCTGGGTTCAATCCTCAGCACAACATAAAAATAAATAAATAAAATAAAGGTATTGTGTCCAACTATAACTGAAAAATAAATATTAAAAAGAAAAAAAGATATACTGGCTAATACAATAAGCATTCAGTGCATACCAGCTGCTATTAATTGTCTTTTTTGGGGGGTGGGTGGGGTACTGGGGATTGAACTCAGGGGCACTTGACCACTAAGCCACATTCCCAGCCCTATTTTGTATCTAAATAAGACAGGATCTCACTGAGTTGTTAGCACCTTACTTTTGCTGAGGCTGGCTTTGCACTCTCAATCTTCCTAGCCTCAGCCTCCTGAGCTGCTGGGATTACAGGCATACATCACTGTGCCCCCCTCCTATTAATCTTCTTTTATCTGGCCTAAGATGCTATCTAGAAGCTCAGACAAGAGAGAGCAGATTCCACAACTCCAGCAGTAGCCAAGGTACCTGCCACCATCAATCCGTCACTGCTAATTCAGTATCTATCTTATGGAATGACATTTTCCAACTCAGGTGATTGCCTGCTAGAAGGACTAGTGTCCCCAATGCTGTGCTGGGGCTCCTTTCACTGGTGTTGTTCTTCATCTGTTCTAAGGATGCAGCATTGCACGTGGAGCCCAAGAAAGAAAAAATGGAACCAGGCATGGAGCAGGATAAGAAACCCAGACTAGATAGTGTCACCAGCAGTGAGAGCTTTGCGAGCTCTGGATTTCAGGAAGATAAAAGTCTGAGTGATGTTGAGGAAGAGGAGGGTAGGTATTCATTCCTTCCTGTCCTACAGTCTGAGATATTTTTACAACATACTGTGCATCTCTGACATTTTTTTCTTATTTATCACCCTAATAAACATCCGTGGGAGACTTGAAGGGTAATGTCCTGAGGAGATAAGATTTGAATTAAGATTATTTACAGAGTTACTAATTTTGACAGAGAACTGTGTGATTGTCTCCCCTCAGGCCTTTTCATTTGGCCGGGTCATACCCCTCCCCCATGCTTGGATCCATGGGCTGGAGGCCTGGAAAAATCTCTGATGTTCATGTTGAAATTCAAATGAACTCTGATCCACTTGTTAGTTTGTTTTATGTTTTGCTAATGTTGTTCTAATAAACTGGGATTTAGTGGAATAATAAGAGCCATTACAAACAATTACAGTTCTAATGCTTTGCAGATTCTGATGATTTCTACAAGCAGCCCATCACTATGGAGGATCTGATTTCTTACAGTTTTCAAGTGGCCAGAGGCATGGAGTTTTTGTCTTCCAGGAAGGTCAGCTTATCTCCTTACTATTTTTCTTCTTCTTCTTAAAAAAAAAAAAAAGCAGGAATAAAGTGAAATTTTATTTTTAAATTTTTTGTTTTACAAAATAAATAATTGCTTAAATTTATTTTTAACTGATACATTAAAACCTAAAACTTGTATATATTACCATACGATGTTTTGATACATGTTTACATTACATAATGTTTCAATCAAGTTAAATATATTCATCTCCTCAGTTATCTTGTCTTTATGGTGAAAACTTCCAAAATCTTTTCTTCTTTGCCAGGCATGGACACATGGCTCTGCTATAAATCCCATTTTCCTAGTATTTACTTATACCTATGTCCTTTAGTGTAGAACAAACTCAACCCAGGTGCCTGAATTTGTCCTACTATGAGGAGTTTTGAGAATGATAAACCTGGGGTACCAAAGAGTAGAATTTAATACCAAGAGATTCAGATTGGACAAATCCAGCAACCATTCTCCATAGTACCCTCTGGCATGTTTTCAAAATTGGTCAGAATCCCCCAGAGTACAGGACTTCCCTGGAGAGCATCTATCATTCCATCTACAAAGGGTCCTCCCACAAATCCACAGCTGGATAAAATCTGACCTCCACCAGCCAGAATAAAGGTTATGGGGATGTTTTGCTTGGTGGCAAAGCTCACATTGCCCCTTGGTTCACCAAGATGCTGTTTGCAGACAGTAGCCCACCAGAGTCAGAACATTTCTTGACTTTCAGGTCTCAAAGGACTTATATTTGTAAAGAAATGCTTCATGTTTATGGTCACTCAGTGTGCGCTGAGAGTGGTTTCCTTCACAGCATGTGAAATGGATCTTCAAATTAAGAATAATGACACTGAGGAAGCACAGGAAATTAGTTAGTTAGACTCAGGAAATGCATTGACTATGCAGTTGTTTTATTATAGTGCATTCATCGAGACCTGGCTGCGCGAAACATTCTTTTATCTGAGAACAACGTGGTGAAGATTTGTGATTTTGGCCTTGCCCGGGATATTTATAAGAATCCTGATTATGTGAGAAAAGGAGATGTAAGTCAGCTTGATGTTTATTTGTCTCATTTATACCCTGTCATTTTAAAACCACAGACCAAGGCCCTTGATAAATATTTATACTTCCTCACCAGTAGTCTCTGAAAACTGTCCTGTGCTTACTGTGCAGTCCAGAAGAGCCATAGAGCGCTTGTATGGGACTCCCGAATAGCCACTGTCTCCTGGTTCTATTGGCCTTAATCCCTGGCTTGGTACGGGTCCTTTCTGAAGCACTGCCTGAGGCTTGCTAACCAGAGAAGTGTTTAGTTGGGCCCTGGTAAGGCCATATCATTCCTTGCCTTGGGCTCCTATGGGAGTTCCTTGTACCATTGAAAAGAACAGCCTGGACTCTTTCCCTCAAATAAACCCAGATGATTGATTCAGCAGGTGTGTGTACCTCCGGAGAGGGTGGGGTTTATCTCCCTGGGAGGAAACTGATTACCTCCCCTGTATGCCTTCCATGCCTAGCATCTCCCTGCTGGCGTACATTGGCCCTCTTCTCCATTTGTTTTTGAACATAATGTTATTTGTCACTTAGTGGGTGACCTCCTGTGTCCTCTGTGGGTAACCTCTCTTCTCTGACCTCTACCGTGAGGCTTTCAGTTTATGTCTGAGCTCTGATGACTATTCTACAGCTACACATCACCTAGAAGTCCTTTTTTTTTTTTTAAAAGAGAGAGTGAGAGAGGGGGACAGAGAGAGAGAGAGAATTTTAACATTTATTTATTTTTTCTTAGTTCTCGGCGGACACAACATCTTTGTTGGTATGTGGTGCTGCTGAGGATCGAACCCGGGCCGCACGCATGCTAAGCGAGTGTGCTACCGCTTGAGCCACATCCCCAGCCCTACCCACCTAGAAGTCTTACTCAACCATTTTGCTGGCCCCACCCCCAGCCTCCCTGATTTAGTAAATTTTGGGTAGGGCCTGAGAATTGGCATTTGTAACAAGTTTCTAGGCTGTGCTGACTTAGCTGTCCAGGACCATACTTTGACAACTACTACTCTGCTGTCACTTTTTAAAGGAGGGGAAAAAAGCAAAACTTTCCTTGGAGACCTGGTCTTCACAGATGATATCTACCTGTGTTATAGTCTGTCCCTCTTTTCTGTCCCTTCTGTGTCTCTTTCAATCCCTCCTTGCTCCTCCCCCTTACTTTTTTCTTTGTCTTTCCATTATCCCGTACTTTTGCCAGTCCCCATCCATCCAACTCCCGGGCTAACTCACTGGGATTCCTGCTATCTGGAAGGGAAGGAAAATTTGTCTGCAGGCCTGAAAACCAGCCATATAGTCTTCTAAGTACTAAATACTTGAATATTAAATTACCTTTCTTCTTCAAATACCTTTGCCTCTTCTCTGTATTGAATGACTTATTTGGAGGGAGTGGGGGAGCTAAGAATTGAACCCAGGACCTCACACATGCTAAACATGTCCTCTACCACTGAGCTGAGTTCCCAGACCCCATACCATGACTTTTAAAATCCTGTCTTTTTGCATAGGAATGCCTTTCAGACTTTTCCTTCTTAGGAAAAATTCCAGAAAATCATCACAAATTTTTAGGATGTCCTCTAATTCAGATCACTCTTTCCCAAGCCTTCAGTGTCCCTGTGGAATGCAGCCTCCTCCCCTCCTCTCCCCCTCCAAGCGGAGGGGGGTGGGAGGATTTCTTTCAGAACCATAGAGTTAGATCTGAGGGGCTTAGTAAACATTCATCGCCTTTGGAGGGTTTGGAGTAGTATGCAGTGCAGTCTTCTAGCATAACACTGCACACCCTATGAGTTTTCTCTTAGAGCATAGCTGCTCTAAGAAATGATGTCTGGGCCAAGCATTAATGTGAGAGGTGATCCATAGGCACCTGAGTTGGATGCTTTGTTTTCATGACCTTCTTCTCAAGCCTGCCTTGCCTTCTTCCAGACTCGACTTCCTCTGAAATGGATGGCTCCCGAATCCATCTTTGACAAAATCTACAGCACCAAGAGTGACGTGTGGTCTTATGGAGTGTTGCTGTGGGAAATCTTCTCCCTGGGTAAATTTGGAGGAGGGAAGAGATCAAACAGCCTAGAAATAAATGCATTCATCTTCTGTCAAGCATCCTTTGACTAGACACAACCTTGAGATCAGCACTCAAATTGCAAACTGTAGTAGGGGCATGGATCCTGGTCGCCTCTCAGTATAGTCATGATGTGTGTGTGTGTGTGTGTGTGTGTAAAAATGGCTTTACAAACATGAACAAGGTCAGACAGTAGAAAATCTGGAATCAAGTCTATCTTTCTCTGCCTTTTGCCCCCTTCTCCATTGCCTCAGACACCCCCATGTCTAATGCCCTTACCCTTTTCCTCCCTGTAACACCTGCTCCCTCAGAATTTCTTCTCAGGAAAAAACCTGATAAGCACAGCTGAAACGTGGAGAAAGTGTCTTTAGATAAAGGAGGCATCAGTTGGTCCACTGCATGCCATGGGGGCTGCAATCCTAGTTGTAGCTGCTGCAGGGATTGCCTGCAGCTTGGGGCCAGTGGTGATGCTGCCTCCTATTCCACATCCACCCAGCACTCCCGGGTCTGGGTGCTGGTTTATAAGAGCCAGAGAGATCCAACCAAGGTAGTTGTACAAAAGACAAGTAATAGTGCCACATCCCAGAAGGGGACAGGAGTTTCTAAAGGGGGTGAAGATGGGATTTGAGACCTGGTGAAGTGGTGCTGCCCATAATCCCAGTAACTCAGAAGGCTGAGGCAGAAGGATGGCCTTAGCAACTTTGCAAGACCCTATTTCAAGATTAAAAATAAAACAGACTAGGAATGTAGCTAAGAGCTTAAGCACCCCTGGATTCAATCCCCAGTAAAAAAAAAAAAAAAAAAAAAGACAGGTTTTGAATTGGAACGAAGGGACAGGGTCCAAGGAAGCAGACAGAAAGAAAAAGTAGCTGTCTTTTCAGTGCCTCTGATATTAGCACATGACACAGCCCTACATTGCTTTATGCAAGTAAACTATAAAGAGCACTGGTTATATAGATTCTGCCTGCAATTCACCCACTGAGGGTTTCTAGAAACCTTGCTGGAGTTCTCTTATTCAAAAGTGTGCATGGAACCCACATCTGCTCCCAAATACATAGTAATGATGTGAGGCCTCCCAAACACGAGTTCTAGCCAAGAGTCTTATGGACTTTGCCAAAAATTTGCCTTTCCTAGCAAATAAAAGTCATCCAGTAACATCCCTGGTTTCCTGTAATGTGTAAAAATCATTCCCCTGCTTTCGATCACAGGCACCTGTAGCTTCCAGTCTTTGAAAGCCACTGGGCCTTTGCAGTGACACAGTGCCAGCACTGCATGTCTCCCAGCTGCTTCCTACCAGCAGTAATCACAAGAAAGTGCAAACACATTCTGAGATAGACTAGGTTTGTGGGCTGGAACAGAACCGACTTGGAGGCCTTACCCACTTGTACACTCAGTCAGGGATCCCCTTAAAAGGATTTGCTTATAGGAGAATCTTAGTCACGCTGGCAAAGGGCAAAGTCTAGGTGCCTCTGGAACCTTCATCTTTGCAGACTCCTGACCATGAGCAGCCCCCAACCCATACCACTGAACTTTGTTCTGGAGTTCAAGACACTCCCCCTTTAGGCCTGTCATAAGTGTTAGTCCCCAGTGCTGTAAGACTTAAAATCACTGTTACTGAGGTAGGCCCAATCCATTAAATAGCCTAGTCCATTGGCTTTCTAAAGGTCACTAACCTGAGGAATGAGACTCTAGTGATAGGATTTCTTGTGGGGACAGAGCAGGGACTCTTCATATTATTCCTTCCCCTGACAAAAGAAATAGGAGCAGCCATAGGAATGACATAATACACTAAATACCATGAGACCAAACAGTGAAGTATGTGTCCGTGTTGCTAACCTCCTCTGTGTCCTACCCTATGTTGACATCCACTTCAATCACCATGTTTTATTATTCAATCGTTATGTACAATTACAATGTCTTACTTTAAAGGGAGGAAAGAAACACTGAATTGTCCCCTTATGGTATTTTGTGCCCTGAAACTATAATGTGCCTGTGTGTCCCCACTCTGTCTCCTGCAGGTGGGTCTCCATACCCAGGAGTACAAATGGATGAGGACTTCTGCAGTCGCCTGAAAGAAGGCATGAGGATGAGGGCCCCTGAGTATGCAACTCCTGAAATGTGAGCCAGCTTCCTTCATTCCTCACCACAGCACCTCTGAAGGGAGTTGATGTGTTAGAATCCCCATCTTGAAAGATGCAAACAGTTATCCTTTTCTTGAGGGTTCCCTGTACTCAGCCTCTATTGGGCCCTTCTGTGCTGGGAGTGTTTTCCTAAAGTGGGATACACTGTCCTTGATTCATCCCACTATTTCCTCCTGACCACTGGCATGACTTTTCAAGGCTCTAGCTGGGAACTGAAGTTAGAAATTTAGTTTTTAGGTATAAATCCAGGCAAAAACAAATAGACCACCCAATAAGAGAATGCAAGACCTTGACCTCACTCACTAAGTGGGAGCCTAATGAGCTAAATCACCACATGGTCAAGGGCCGGAAGTACCCTTGACCATAAGTCCAATGGTGCTACAGACCCACAAGAGGCATGCTTTGGACTGTAGGACAAGTAGTGTAGGAGGGGGAAAGAAGAATTCTCTGACCAAAGCTATGATTATACTCCACAGAAGGTGACCTGGGCAATGTACCTTCTTTAAAATCCTTTAGAAATAGGCTCTGCTGCTGTCTGGACACTGAAGCAGACAGCTTCTTGAGGTGCCTTCCTGCTGTACCGTCCTTCTGGTGACTCTAGGAAGGTGACAGGCTCTGTGTGAAGGCTTTCCCATTGTTGGCTTATACTTGCTCGCCTCTCTTGTGCACTCTTTTCCTGAGACTATGTGCATGTTTTGCAGTTTGAGGCCTGATCAGGAATGTGATGACACTTGCAGTTTTGTGGAGCTGCTGACAAGGACTTGGGCCTCTCTGAGGCGGCACCGCCTTTCCTGAGCAGGCAGGCACCCCCCCCCCACATCCCACCCACACAATGGGGTCCTGTCAGAGCCCTGGGATGGCCTTTGGGGAGGAGTCGGGTAGTGAAGGAAGCGTGGGCTTGGCCAAAGGGCAAGGTTGCTAGCTCTTTCCTTCATCATCTTGGGATAAGGGTAGGTCAGATCCTGGACAGGGAGCTGGATGAGAGAGACAGAGGACTCAGGCATGAAGGCAGGACAGGGGAGCAACCAGTGAGCAGGGAAGAGGCAGGAGATTGTTTTCATCAGTCTTACATCATGGCCTCTTCAGTAAAGCACAGGAAGTTTGAGGCAAGATCTCTTTCTGGGGCTGCAGAGTGAAATAGGCCTTATGAATTTTCACTTTCTTGAGTCCTTTAACTCAGTGGTTTAATATGAGATCATTTTGCACTTTATGCTTTCCTAAATGTTTTCCCCATGTAGTCTAATGTGAATTTCCCACAACCTTCAGGATCAAATAGGACAGATATTATAATCTGAATTTGACAAGTATCAAAACTAAGACTGAGAAGTATGCCCTCTGTCATCTAAGGTTAGCAGAGAACACAGATTTAGAAACCAGCCTCCATACAGATTTCCTGGACCACAGGGGTTGTTAAATTAGTAATACATCGCACATTCCCCGAATGTGCAGAAATGGTACTCTGATATACCCATGCGTGCTATGCATTAAATATGTCCTTCACTTTTATGTAATCTGAAAATCATAAATTCTCAATTACTAACAATAATAATAATTGCAGTTATTTTTACACAATATTAACTAAATGTTTATTTAGTGCTTATAAGCGCCAGACACTGTTTTAAGCACTTTTAATGTATATTAATTTGCTTCATGTTCATGACAACTCAGTAAGGTATGTGATTCTATTAACTCCATATTACAGATGAGAAAGCCAAGGCACAAAACATTGCTAATCAGTTGAGCAAATTCAGTCTAAGTTTAGAGTCCACAACATCATCCTACATACCAGTAGGATCTATTTCCAGTTCTCAGCCAGGTTCTGGTCCAGAATAACTCTAGAGGTACAAAGTAACCTCCACTTTGGACTAAAGATTCCCCTAGACTTTATCAAGGCTTCAAATCTTTATATAAATTTCCTCCATGTAGCCCCTGAACCCTAAGCAACTTATAGACAGGGATGTGGTTTCTCAATTCTGGGAAGAAGGTCAAAGGAGTGGAATCTAGAAATGAGAAACCACAAATGAAACTAGAAAACAGCCAGTGGTCATAGGTGGTCCCTATTGCTAGTTTATTTTACAAATTTTAAAAAGTAAGATGTGACTTGGTGAAGGGCTGAGGCTGTGGCTCCGCAGTAGTGCACTTGCCCAGCATGTGTGAGGCTCTGGGTTCGATTCTCAGCACTGCATATAAATAAATAAAATAAAGGTCTGTCAACAACTAAAAAAATATATTAAAAAAATATATGACTTGGTGAAATATTTCCTCAGAAGGCCAGGATTCAGGCCTTCAGCCATTTTCTCAAGTAAGTGAAAGCTGATGAGGTAATCTTGTTTGTTCCAGAAGTAGGAAGGGGTGAGAATAAAGTGCATCTTCTCAGAACTGTGATTTCAGGACCTGAACTTGGCCTACAATGGTGTGCACTTGGGAACTTGGGTGATAGCTTGGAAAGGAAACTCTTCCCACAGTCCCTCACCCCAACTTGGGTGCAACTGGTGTTTCTTTACTTCATTAAACCTGTTTACTTAGTGGTGAAAACTGTATAACTGAGTGGAATCGTTGGTTCCTCACCCAGAGCCTATTTAGTCAGATGCCTTTCAATAAGGGACACACTGATGTATGTTTTCTTTTTTCTTTTCCTTTGGTGTTTTCTGAGATGATTTGTATTGAATTGTAGATTGGAGGAGTGGAATCTAGAAATGAGAAACCACAGATGAAACTAGAAAACTGCCAGTGGTCATAGGTGGTCCCTATTGCTTATTTCAGTAGAGA